AATGGTACCCCACAGAAAGGGGTAAATTCACCCCACAGAAAGGGGTGAATTCACCCCACGGAAAGGGGTAAATTCACCCCACAGAAAGGGGTGAATTCACCCCACGGAAAGGGGTAAATTCACCCCACAGAAAGGGGTGAATTCACCCCACGGAAAGGGGTAAATTCACCCCACGGAAAGGGGTAAATTCACCCCACAGAAAGGGGTAAATTCACCCCACCACCTACCCCCGGTTTGTTGGAGCTGAACTCACCTCTGAGGAGCTCTCTGCTGGTCTGTAGACCTGCTTCAACTTGGCGAAGGTTCCTTCGATCCCGGCCTGCTCCGTCACCTTCAGAGCAGCTTTGAAGAGTTTGGGGGTGTCGGGTCGAGGGGGGATGACCTCCGCCGCCTCTTTCCGGGCCTCCGCCTCGTCCGGCTTTTTGTCTTTCGTCAGCATCTTCCTGCACGAGCACAGAAACGGCAGGATCTCTGTCTCTGGTGCTTTTCTGTTTGACGTCTACATCTAAAACCGGGTCAGCAGACTGTGGTCTGCCTGACCCGAACACCTGAGCAGGATCACAGGTCTCATTTGATTTGCACCTCCAACACAAAGTAGAGCTCCGGTCCTGAGCTGATTAGACACAAGAGTTAATCCTGTTCAGGACAGAGGCAGGGTCAGGCGGACGGACGACAAAAACTAACCCGACAGGTTTTGATTGAATCTAGAAACCTACTGTTAGTTTGAGGGTATTGATAATAATAATAATAATAATAATAATAATAATAATAATAATAATAATAATAATAATAATAATAATAATAAAGACAAACTGTGACTAACAACAATGATGCAGGATGTGTCAAACAAAAACTGACATCATGTTTTAATCTTGGTCAATTCTCTCTACAAAGATCTCAAATTGGAGCAAATATTGTCAACTAACAAAGTTTAATGTATAATTTGAACATTTCTCCTTTCTTCAGGGTGAAGACTGGCGTCCACTAGAAATGAAAAGACACTTTGAGTGTTGGGAAATACTCAAACATGGTCAGTGTGCGGGCAGCGTTCATGTTCCAGAAAATGTTTTAAAAATAAAAGTGCTGACTTGAAAACAGATTCGATTTGGTTATTTTGAAAAGTGATCCTCGGTTGTTGCACCGTGTGGGCCGTGCTGTTTCTCTTTATGATGCAATGATGTGGTTTTGCCACAACTCAGACTGGCAGACCTGGTGCGAGACATTTTCTAAAAGTTTCTTCATAATTTGGTTACGTTTTCAGTGTGACATCAGTCATAGAGCACAAATTATAGAGACAAGGGCATATGTATTTATATAGGCTAGGCTAATGGCTAGCTGAATGATAAACAGTGTTTTTTTTGTCTATCAGGCTTGAAGAACAAGTTATTCTAAAAAAACCTACTGTAGTGTCCAAGAGTTGTGTGTGTGTGTGTGTGTGTGTGGGGGGGGGG